AGAACACAGAACTAGAATTTAGGAATTAAACATTTTATTGCTCTGTCTATAAGTCTTCCATATAACTTTAGGTAAATCATAAGCTTTTTGGACTTTAGAAAGTAATCCTTAAGATAAATATGATGACCAAATTCATTACCAGATTATCTTCTGATTTTTATGGCATCGCAGAATATTGCTAATTTTGATTTATAATTTTTTTCTATAGTGAGAATATTAGAAAATACATGTAGAATTAACCTAGAAGGTAGTTATTAGAATGTGGAATTGGACCAGACTCAGTGGCTCAGCCTGTAATCCCAGCACTTTGGGAGGCCAAGGCGAGTGGATTGCCTGAACCTGCGGGTTCGAGACCTGCCTGGGCAACTTGGCGAGACCTCGTCTCTATAGTAAATAAAAAACTAGCTGGGCGTGGTACCATGCGCCTGTAGTTCTGGCTACTTGGAAGGCTGAGGCAGAAGAACAGCTGGAGCCCAGCAGGTCGAGGCTGCGGTGGCCGGGAGTGTGCCACTGCACTCTAGTCTGGGTGACAGAGTGAGACTCCAACTCAAAAAAAAAAAAAAAAAAAGAAATGTGATTTGATTTTGAGAAGTTTGGATTTGGGCTGGAGTTCTTCCACAGGACATTTGGTAATACCAGGAGCCATTTTTGGTTGCCATAACTGGTTAATTGCTACTGGTATCTAATGGGTTGAGGTTTGGGATGCTGCATAATATCCTACATTGCACTCAGCAGGCCCTTACAACAATTATTTCATCCAAAATGTCAGTAGTGCCTATTGAGAAACAGTATGTTGAGAAACACTGGGCTAGATGACATCATCCTGGAGTTAGGTGATTGGAACTATATAGACGAACTACCAGTTTTAGTTAATTCCAAAGAACGTCATTTTCAAATCTGCCTTACTGATTTTTTTCTGGCATATCTACTAATTATCTACTTGACCTTAGTTTTGAAGTTATAAATCACTACTGATGACACCCCATTCTGTATGCTTCATGCATTTACCACAGTCTGCTCAGTGCTTTGTACAGTGTCTGATCAGAGTTGGGCAAAGAAAACATAATTTTAGAATAAGTGCAGGAAATGGTAAATAATCTTATTATGCTTAATATTGTATTTTTAAAATCTGCTTCTAAGGTGATACATGTTAACAGGGATAAATATTATCTGTATATTTTAAAATTAGATACCTTGACCTTTAGAACTTAGAAGATCCTTCCACCTCATCCTCCCAAGTAGCTAGGACTACAGGCATGCACCACCATGCCTGCTATTTTTTTTTTTTGCATTATTTTAGTAGAAATTAGATCTCACTGTTTTGCCTAGGCTACTCTTATATTCCTGGGTTCAAACAATGCTCCTTACTCCCAAAGTGCTGGGATTTTAAGCTTGAGCCACTATGCCTGGCTTCATTTTTATAGTTTGGATTATGGTGGTTTGAAAGGTCCATACTGGGCTTCAACGAATCCTGATATGTTTTCAGAAATTGATGAGTTATAAACCATGTTTTTGGGGTTTTTTTGAGTCAGATTCTCACTCTGTCACCCAGACTGGAGTACAGGCACACTCACAGCCACTGAGCCTCCACCTGCTGGCCTCAGGCGATCCTTCTGCCTAATATTAGCTGGGCATGGTGGCGCACACCTGTAGTTCCAGCTATTTGGAAGACTGTAGAGGGGAGGTCCCACCATGTTGCCCAGGCTGCTCCAAAGCTGTGGGCTCAGCCGGGTTCAGTGGCTCAGCCTGTAATCCCAGCACTTGGGGAGGCCGAGGCGAGTGGACTACCTCAGCCCGTGGATTCAAGACCAACCTGGACAACTTGGTGAGACCTCTTCTCTACAATAAATTTTAAAAATTGACTGGATGGGCTGAGGTGAGTAGGCTGCCTGAGCCCGCGGATTCGAGACCCGCCTGGGCAACTTGGTTGAGACATCATCTCTATAATAAAACAAAAAATTAGCTGGGCATGGTAGTGTGCGCCTGTAGTTCCAGCTACTTGGAAAGCTGAGGTAGAGGGATCGCTGGAGCCCAGCAGGTCAAGGCTGCGGTGGCCGGGAGTGGCCGCTGCGGTGGTCGGGAGTGGCCACTGCATTCCAGTCTGGGCGACAGAGTGAGACTCCAACTAAAAAAAAAAAAAAACAAAAAAACATTGGCTGGGTATGGTGGCACATGCCTGTAGTTCCGGCTACTTGGAGGGCTGAGGCGGAAGGATGAATGGAGCCCAGCAGGTTGACACTGGGTTGACTGTGGGCACTCCAGCCAGGGCATGGAGTGAGACTCCAACTCAAAAAAAAAAAAAAGAAACTGGGCTCAAGACAGTCATCTCACCTCTGCCTTTCAAAGTGCTGAGATTATAGGCGTGAGCCACTGCGCCCGGCTAAGAACCATGGTTTAAAGTGCATACGTTTTGCTAGCTTTCAACCTGTCTTTAACCAACTAGTTGTGACCCATTGGTGAGACTTAATTGATTCTTTTAGGTCATGATTAACTTAAGAAAAATGAAATTACAAGTATTAGAATGTATCCCATATAGTTTTCATTATTTGCTTATGCGTGTATGTGTTGGAGACAGGAATGCCCTTCCTCAGTTTGTTGTTAAGGAATGACATGGAGACTCAGAGATTGGTGGAGGGAAGCAGTTTTTTAAATATTGTTCTTGCAAGAATGGGTGTCCCTTGGGTGAGCAAGCACACCGAAGCAGTTACAGCCAGCACATTTATGCCCTAAAATGCAAATTCCTCTCCTGGTTTCCCATAGGTTGTGTTCTGCAGAAGTTACATGTTTTCCCATATGATGCCTACATGACACATGTTGGTTGGTTTTACAGAATCATTTCATTTGCTTGTCCTGTTTGCCAGTTGACTTACAGGATTACTATTCTGATTGGATTCTGCCAAAAGTTTAAACATGTAGCCCACCAAAGTAAAAAGCCTGCAAAAAGGGAACACAAAGAAACTGGAAGTGAGTCAGCCAAAGAGAAGCACAAAACATTTAAATATCATCTTGATAGCCTGAGATAAGCTAGGCTTCATTTTGAAAGTAAATTATCTTATTTCCCACAATATGTTTGTAATGAGATTCCATATACATTTTTTTTAAGTATTGGTTTTGATCAAATGTTTATAAAAAGCTAGCAGCTTTAAATCCTTTGTTGACCTACAGAACTTCTGACTTCAACAAAGTTCTCAGAGTAAATTGATAGAAAGCATGAGATTAGTAGAGCATAGCTTTCTCTGCAAATAAAGGATCTTGGTTAAGGAGAGTTACTATTTATTGATTCATTTATCAAATTCTTTATTTGTTGAGCACCTGTCTTGTGACAGGCACTGTTCTTTGTGCTGGGTATACAATAGTCAACAAAAGATACAGACCCTTCCCTATGGAGTTCATGTTCTACTGAATGGACAGTAGAAAAGAATCAAATAAGTAAAGATTATTGTATGTTAAATAATGTTAGGGCTTGACAGTGAAAGAAAAGAGAATAGAGATTAGGAATGTGAACTAGAAGTTGATTGGAGTATTTGAGAATTTCACTGAGAAAGATACTTTGAATAGAGCCCTGAAGGCAGTAAGGTAGGTAGCTAAATGAAGACCACTCATATTGGAACTAGAACCTTGAACAACATAAAGAGCTTAGTGTGTTCAAGAAGTAGCAAGGAGGCTAGTGTCACTATAGTGAAGTGGGTTGGGGGGAGGAGTACGAGATACCTGCAAGGTAGTGTGTCTGGTCTTCTAGGCATACTCTGGATTAATTGGAAAGCCATTAGGGTTTTTTGTTTGTTTGTTTTTGAGTAGGAGTCTCACTCTGTTGCCCAGGCTGAAGTGCAGTGGCATACTCATGGCCACCATAGCCTTGGCCTGCTCTGCCCTCAGCCTTCTAAGTTGCTGGAACCACAGACACGTGCCACCACACTGCTAATTTTTTGATTTATTTTAGAGACATGGTGTCTCCAAGTTGCCCAGATTGGTCTCGAACCCCTGGACTCAGGCAGTCCTCTCACCTCTGCTTCCCAAAATGCTAGGATTATAGGTGTGAGCCCCCATGCCTGGCCATTAGAGGGTTTTGAAGTGAGCAGTGAGATAATCTGACTTGGTTTAACAGAATTTGTCTGCCACATGGAGAAGAGACTGAAGGTGAACCGAGGAAAGAACTACTGTTGTATTTTATTTCACTACGGAAGTTGACTGGAGGGGGAAATTAGGGAACATCAGTGAATTATAATTATAATTAAGGCCATGAGTTGGGATGAGATTATCAAGAGCATTCATTCCTTATTTGTCTACCTGCATATTGTATTATGTTGTTTGTCGGCTATGTGTAGATACTATTACTCAAAACATTGTATGCCCCTTTTCTGTTTTTTTCTTTCTATATTTTAAAATATAGGCACTAGTTCTTGCTATGTTGCCCAGGCTAGTCTCAAACTCCTGGACTCCAGAAGTCCTCCTGCGTTAGCCTCCCACAGTGCTGGGTTACAGGCATGAGCCACTGTGCCTGGCCAGATACTTCCTTCTGTGCAAATATATTTTCCAACTCTACTACAAAGCAAGCTGCCACTGACTACTTGTTACTTTTTAAAAATAACTGTTACTGTAAGTCTAAGAAATAGGAATTTTTGCCTTTAAGATACTAAAACACATTGAAAAGTAAAAAAAACTTGCTAAAGAGAATGTATCTGATGTATGGCAGACTGAGGTTTCCAGCTTAATCTTCTCCATCTCAGCAGCCTGTGTTTCTAAATGCCGTACAATGGTGCCTTTGTAAAATTGCTTGTCCTTTATTACTTTGTGTAGTGATTAGTTGTTGGAGGGTTTTTCTTTTATTTTTTCATGAAAGAGATCATAATCAGTATAGGGAAAAATCTTTGATTCTGGAATCATAGTGACCTGATTTTTTTTTTTTTTTTGAATCAGAGACTTACTCTGTTACCAAGGCTGGAATACAATGGCAAGATCATGACTCACCGCAGTCTCTGCCTTCTGGGCTCTGGCAATCCTTCTGCCTCCATTTCCAAAGTAGCTGGAACTACAGGTGGGTGCCACCATGCTTGGCTGGGTTTTTTTTTTTTGTTTTTTGTTTTTTTTTTTTTGGTGTAGATGAGATCTGACTATGTTGCCTGTGCTTGTCTCAAACCCCTGGGCTCAAGCAATCCGACATCGGCTCCCTCAGACTGCTGGGATTACAGATGTGAGCCACCGTGCCTGGCCAGGGACCTGATCTTGTATCATAGGTTTTAAGCTGTTACTTATCCTGTTTTAGTCTCAGTGTCCTTGTCTATAAAATGACAATGTTTGTAACTACTGCAGTATTTTAGAGGAGAATTAAATAAGGTAATACATTTTTCTGTATTACTGATGTATAGTGTGTGTTTATACTTAGGTGACAGTTTATATAAAGGAAGCGCTGGGACTGCTAGCCATACCCTTCAAGAACAAAAAAATTAGAAAATGGAACAACCATGTGTGATATGTGAGGAAGAACAAGGACCAGCATCAGAGAAGAACATCAAAGAAATGAAACAAGTAGATGATGAAGATGCTGAGCTGATCTTTGTTGGGATGGAGCCTGTAAATGAAGATGCTGAGCTGATCTTTGTTGGGGTGACTTCAAATTCAAAACCAGTTGTTTCAAACATTTTAAACAGAGTCACCCCGGGTTCATGTTCAAGGAGAAAAAAGTATGGCCGTCTTAGAAAAGATACTGCTCACAAATTGCAGCCTACAAGTCATATGACCCCTGCATCAGAAGCAGTGACTGTCTTGCCAACTTCTCAGTCTGAATTGAGATCAACAGATAGTCCTATTATTATCGAGCCTTTGTCTAAATCTGATTGTAGAAATAGTTCACCAGAAGCCGTGCCTAATAGCTCTTTAGAGTTATGTTCTCCTTTGATTACAGGTTCATTGCATCATCCAGTAAAAGCAGCACTTTCAGTAGGAGATATGACTGAAAGTCCTTGTGTATCAAATCGACTTTCCACTTCTGAAGTAAACAGCATAAATCCCAAAAGGGCTAAACTCAGGGATGAACTCATAGGGGGATATTCTTCAACTCTTTCCCCTTCAGGTACCTTTCATACAATGAACACTCTGCAAAGTATACCCTCAAACAATGTTCATACCTCATTAAACCATGTTCAGAATGGAGCACCTTTTCCAACAGCTTTTCCAAAGGACAGTATCCATTTCAAGCCTATAAGTATAAATCTTGATAGGGAAAATGGATTGGCAAAAACAGACTTTTTGAGTCTAGCAAGTCAAAACAAGACTTTTCATCCCAAGAAAGAAAATCTGATTATGTTACTTAGTGACTTTTACTATGGACATTATAAAGGAGATGGGCAGCCAGAGCAGAAGACTCACACAACCTTTAAATGCATCAGCTGCTTGAAAGTTCTAAAAAATGTTAAGTTTATGAATCATGTGAAGCACCATTTGGAACTTGAGAAGCAGAGAAATGACAGCTGGGAAAACCACACCACCTGCCAGCACTGCCACCGGCAGTTTCCCACTCCCTTCCAGCTGCAGTGTCACATTGAAAATGTACATACTGCCCAGGAACCCTCTGCTGTTTGTAAAATCTGTGAATTGTCATTTGAAACAGATCAAATCCTCTTACAACACATGAAAGACCATCATAAGCCTGGTGAAATGCCCTATGTATGCCAGGTTTGCCATTACAGATCATCGGCCTTTTCTGATGTGGAAACACATTTTAGAACATGTCATGAAAACACTAAGAATTTGCTTTGTCCATTTTGTCTGAAAACTTTCAGAACTGCAACACCATACATGTGTCATTATAGAGGGCACTGGGAAAAGAATGTACACCAGTGTTCTAAATGCCGGCTGCAGTTTTTAACTTTCAAGGAGAAAATGGAGCACAAGACCCAGTGTCATCAAATGTTTAAGAAGCCTAAGCAACTAGAAGGATTGCCTCCTGAAACAAAAGTTATTATTCAAGTGTCACTAGAACCTCTTCAATCAGGATCAGTGGAAGCAGCATCTATTACTGTGAGCACATCTGAACCTGAACCATCAACCCCCGGGTCCAAAAGTAGAAATTACAAAAAAAATCATTAATTTTTGTTTTAGTAAATCTTTTTTTTTTTAATATTTAAAAATTTATTTTAATTTTTTTGTAGAGATGAAATCTCACTATGTATTCCAGGCTGGTCTTAATGCTCTCTTCAGTTGTTCTCCCACCTTTGTCTCCCAAAGTGTTGGGATTATAGGCTTGAACCATTCACTGCACCCAGCCTAGTTTTAGTAAATCTAAAGAAAATATTTCAAACCAAATTTTTTTAAAACCCATAAAAAACTAAAATACCATACATTATTAATTAGCACCAAAATAATGAAATGAATTATATATGAATTTTTTTAACTTTATGCTATATAATATTATTTGACATTTGAGGTGTTACTTTAAAATATATTACTTGGTTTTTATGTTAACTATATTTGCTTAACATATGAAAGGTGTTTGTGTAGTTGTGTGAGTGAGATTAAAAAAAACCCCACCTATTTATTATTTTGGTATTATTTTCATGTTACTCCTAAGCTTGAAAGCTCTTTGATATATAGAATTCATAGAGTTTTTGAAATACTTAATTTTATTTTCAACTTTTTCCATGTACTAAAGATTTCACTGTTAACTCTAGTCAGACAGAAATGGTTTCAGTATGGCCTGGCCCATTTGCTGCTAAACTCACAGAAGTGCCTCTGTTGTGTTGCTATAAAATAACCTGGTTCTGATAGACTATTTGGCTGGAACCTCTTCAGACTAGATTAGTGGAACTAGCATCCACACATTTCTATTGTGTGGAATTAAGGAAAAAACCGGGGCATGAACAGACACCAAGAAGGCAGAGATTAGTCATTGGAGAGCAGTCATTCCTTGTCTCAGTTGAGGGATAGACACACATAAGTTCTTGTTTTGGAGACAAAGCAGAAGGAACACTAAAGACTCAGAGTGTCTTTACCTATCCTAAGAACAGCAAGGATGCAAAAGCATTCAAAGTAAAATGCCTACATTTGGTGAAGGGCCCCTGCAGATATCAAGCAGCCATTGTATGTCATTGGTTTCAGATAAAGAGCCTGTGGTCACTAATAGAATGGGGCCTGGTGCTAGCGGACTTGCTGTTGTATGATCTAAAGGTGAATTTGTAATTTATTTTACACTCCTTTCCCTTCTGGCCAACTCTTTTTCTTTTTCTCTCTCTCTTTTTTTTTTGGTAGAGACACGGTCTCATCATGTTGCCCAGGCTGGTCTCAAACCCCTGGGCTCAGGCAATCCTTTTGCCTCAACCTCCCACAGTGCTCGGATTACCTGACATTGGCCAGCTCTTAGTGGGGAATGAACTGGCAATATCCCTTTTAGCCACAAGTTAAGCAAGTTAAGTTTCCCAAGGGAAAGGATTCTTGACATCCATAGTTTGAACTGTATTGGACACTTAATTTTAAAGGAAAAGGGCCAAACAAATGATATCTATCCAGTTCCCAGATTGGACTAAATTTAGTTCTTTCACTGTTAAGCTGGAAAGGGACTTGTCCAAGAACCATAGGTTCAGTGGACAAAAATAGCCCAGGGCAACTGACTAAAATTAAACCCATAACAGGGTTTTATATATTTTTCTGTGAATATATATCTTACCCTAATTGAATATGTGAAGCTTGCAGTTTTAGGTATTGCCTTGGGCATGAATTTTTACACCTATCAGTTAATATTTTGTATGTATAATTTCCCAGTTTATCATACTAATACTGTTTGGGTCTTACTTGATACACACCAGTGTGCAAGAAATGTGTCACTTATTTCAGTATTAAGTCTTAGAGTCAATGTCCTTCGATCTAAGCTGTCCTATTTAGTCTATACTATACTGTGTGTGTGTGTGTGTGTGTGTGTGTGTCCCCGTGTGTCCGTCAAAAGTCTTACTCTATCGCCCAGGCTGGAGTGGAGTGGCATGATCAAGGCTCACTGCAGCCTTGAACTCATGGGTTCAAGAGATCCTTCTGTCTCAGCCTCCTCAGTAGCTAAGACTATAGGCGTGTGCCACCATGACTGACTAATTTTTTGATTTTGTACAGACACGGTTTCACTATGTTGTCCAGGCTGGTTGTGAATTCTGGACTCAAGCAATCCTTTTACCTTGGCCTCCCAAAGTGCTGAGATTAGAAGCATGAGCCACCCTGCCTGGCCCCCAATCCCGTCTAATGTTGAAGAACCTTTTTTTCCTGCCCTTCTCAAGGGCTTTTTCACAGAATTGTGGAGTAACTTTTGAGTACTAGTACCTAAACATCAGCAACATTAGATTCCTCTGTGGATTCCCAGCGTTGTCTCCTTGGGCATTATTCTAGTGCCGTACTTTGTTCCTCCCCAACGACCCAGGTGCCCAGCAGCCTTTCTTCATTCACCATGTCAAGGAACTGTTGCTTTCATCTCCTTAAAGGCACCTTCCCTTTCCCTACTCCTCCTCAATCTAGTTAAATTTCCTAAGCTTTCACAAAAAGCTGGGAAGAGATAATCATCAAGGTTTTAGTATCCCCTTTAGAACTAGGGTAGGAGGCCCTACAGATAACAAAGAAATTGTGAGTATATTGTCTACATTTGAGATAATTTTCCAGCTGCGGATTCATATATTGTGTTGTATTTATTTTCCTGATGCTTGCTTGCTTGGTTTTCATCTTTAACATTTTATTAGGCCTTTTCAGTTACTTTGCTTGTGTCAAGATACTTTAGCCTAAATCCTTTCTTTGGCTCTAGAACGTGTGTGTGTGTGTGTGTGTGTGTGTGTGACTTGTTCTGGATATTCCTGCTATGTCTAGATTTGCAGACTTCATACTTACCTTCCCTTTCTGTTTCTATGGTAAAAATATGAAATGTATTCTCTATTTTTGTGATTGCGTAGTATTAAAGCTGTTACTGTTTTTTGCTGTTTCACTGAAGTATGCTCCTAAGGAGTACAAATTGTCATTAATTGCCAACTGTGGATTCCAGTAATTTGGCCTCTGCCTACCTCCTCTCTTTTCCATTCTCTGCCATGCTTCTCTACCATTTCCTGCACTGATGCACTATTTTGACACACTGGCCTTGCGAATATTTTCCTTAAGCAAATCAATTTCTTCCTGATCCAAAGATTTTGCACATGCTATTTTCTTTCTTAGAATGCCCTTCCCCAGGCCTGCATGGCTTGCTACCTCACTTAATTGTTTGATACTTCCTGTAAATTGATGCTTCACCCAGGTTCCTAAAATAATACTGACAATGAAATCTCCCTTAGTTTTGTTTTTGTTTTTTGAGTTAGAGTCTCACTCTGTCTCTCAGGCTGAAGTACAGTGGCACACTCATGGCAACCTTGACCTGCTGGGCTCAGGTGACCCTTCCGACTCAGCCTTCCAAGTAGCTAGAACTACAGGCGTGCACCACCATGTGGACCCAGCTAATTTTTAAAAAATTTATGGTAGAGACCAGGTCTCGCCAAGTTACACAGGCTGGTCTCGAACCCCTGGGTTCAGGCAGTCTTCTCATCTCTGCCTCCCAAAGTGCTGGAATTACAGATGTGAGCCACTGTGCCTGGCTTTTTTTTTTTTTTAAACCTTTCTCTTCCTCCTAAAGGCACTTTACCTCTCCCGACTCTTTTCTTACCTCCCTAATCTAGTAATATTTCCTAGTTTTTCATGAATTTTTTGGGAAGAGATCATTATAAAGGGCTTTGCTTCTCTTAGATTTGAACTAGCTTGAGTGAATTTCTGTGCCTGCAACAAAAAGAAAATAGAATGAGTTGAGTTCTTTCAGGAGCTTTCTCTGTTTTTTTGATACCTCTATATTTTTTTAAGGCAATGTCACTTTGTTTTGTTTACAAATATATTGAATATGTCAAGATTACTATTTTGTTATCACCCGTTGTGAATTTCCTTGTCTATTTTCCTTGCTTGTTCTTTCAGGTAAAATTATTTTATCAATGTTGCCAAAAATTGTAATTGAGATACTAAAAATATTATAGTAATAAAATGTTTTGTGAAAAACTATTTTTGCTGTACTATTTTTCTACCAGTAACATAGTATGTTTTTATTTTTATTTAATTTTTATTTAGTATCAGTATGTAAACTCTTTGCTTTCTTGCAAATTGTGTTTGTTTTTAGTCTTTTTGCATTAACCAGTAGTACTTCTATACAGTGATATGTATGATGGAGGTAATAGCTTTCTTGTTGGTTTTAATGAGATGTGACTTACCATTAAAGGTGACAAGTATATTGCTTAATGAATGTGTCTTCCCATTTTTAGAATATTTAAAGAGAATTGTTTAGTTTTATTTGCTAGTTTACAGTATCTTTGGAGTAATCATTTACTTGTCTTTACTAATCCAAGGTTTTACTCAGTTGCATTCACAACTTTCTTGCTAAAAACCTTTCTTTCCTGAAGCAAAAGTAGTTCCACTGGGGATAGAATGTTGTTATCACTATTCAGAATCTATTCCTTTTTTCATTTCTAATATTAAAGTGTATTTCTTCTTTTCATTGGATTTGTTCTGGTTTTGTCAATGTTTCTGATTTACTTTTTTCAAAAAGCAACCCCTGATTTGATTTATTATCCCAACTAGTTTTTGCTGTTCTCTGTTTTTGTATTTATTCATTATTTCTGCTTTCTTTAGTATTGCTCTTTTTTGGTGACTATTATTTATTTATTTATTTTTGAAATCTCACTCTGTCTCCCAGGCTGGAGTGCAGTGGCACACTCACAGCCTCTGCAGCCTTGACCTGCTGGGCTCAGGTGATTCTTCTGCCTCAGCCTTCCCGGTAGCTGAAACTACAGGCACATGCCACCACTCCCAGCTAATGTTTTGATTCATGGTAGAGACGAGGTCTTGCTAAATTGCCCAGGCTGGTCTCGAACCCCTGGGCTCAGGCAATCCTCCCAAAATACTGGAATTACAGGCGTGAGCCACCATGCCTGGCTGGTGATTTCTTTCTTATTCCAAATGTTAATAAGTAATTTGAGTTATTTTGCTCTTAAAAGCGTTCATTATATAAGTAGAGGAAAAAAGGTATAAGTTCCATTTCATGGGTAGCCTTCTTAGACTCT